AGGGCATCCGACTGTTCGCTGCAATGGTTGACTTTCCTATCAACTCGGGCCCAATTCCCCCTGGTCGCTCATACTCGCGCGCTACTCATTAAGCTGCTGCCTGACCAAATGAAGCACGCCTTTTGATCTGAGCTTGTTAAATTATGCACCACCCCTCTGGAGCATATTCAGACATTTTCAAGCTTCACGCCTTGGCTTTAGCTACGTTACGTAACCCGTACTCGCTGCACGCGCTAACGGCGCGGCGCTTTCTCCGACGCAGCAGATGCGACGCGCGAAGCACAACCCCTGCAACATACAAACAAAAAAAACCACGCACACTGCATACACGTGTAGTGCCATGGAATGGGTCACTATGGCGCGTAGCGCTGGTTGCTGGCAGAGAAGGGAATCTGCCGTTGTAGCAGCCCTGTCTGTCAGCAGGGCACGTGATAAGCTGGAGAAAGGAATTATGGGGCAAAGGTGATAGAGGGGGCACGTGAGGTAAAGCCCGGGAACCTTCGAGTAGGTTCTAGAACGGGGGCGTGGCCGAAGGCGGAGCGAGGCCACGCTGAGTGGGTAAAAGGGGGACCCCGAGCAAATGTTCGGGGCTGTTGCTTGGAGTGGAACCCGTCGTGCTCCTGGAGTCTTCGTCACCATCTTCACCTCCTCGGCGTTGTTGGTCAGGCAGCCTATTAGCTGTCCTGACCATAGTGTGGTTACTCCTTGCACCTGTGAAGGCTATAATAAATAGAGTGCCTCCTGCTATTAGTGTCTCTGAGTGACTCACTACACACGCGCTCGGAGCGCAAATGATTTAGCAGCGATTCGACGGACTGTCGCAATTCCGGATCGGGATTCAATTCCGGAAAAGGTCCTTTTTGTGAGCACTACAGCGAGCGGTAGTGGTCTCTTGGTTGCTGCAGGAGTGACGTGAACCCATTACTTACAGCGTATGCGGATAAAAAAAAACAACACATCGATTCGTCCGCGTGCGATTGAAAGCACGTGCTGTGAGCTTCACAATCGATGTAAAAAAAATTGACGAATCGCCGCATCGTTACGCCTCTACTGTGTAACCCTTCCACATCAAACGGCCATACAATGCACCAGTAATCTCATTGGTTCTCGGAAGCTGAGCAGTCCCCAGAGCCTGGTTTGTACTTGTATGGGTGACCACCAGGAATTGCCAGGTGCTGTAGGTGTGAGGATGCGACGAGGAGATGACCGTGATCGCGTATGTGCCGGTGAGTTTTCTCCAGCTTCTCCGGTTTTTCTCCCACACGGAGCCAAACGGTCATTGTGAAGGAATTGGCCGACAATCCCAATGCAGGACCCTCCTAACAAATAATTTGAGGTTCAATTGGCATTATACCTGTCAGACAAATAACCGCTGTGTGTCGTTTCGGTTATTGCCTTCACTAACGTGCACAAATGACAAATTCTATATTGGTGTCGTTCGGACTGAAAAGCACTAAAATAACCACACAAACCCACGGTAGGACATTCTCGACAAGGACCCGGGTGTCAGAATGCAGCGGGGGAAAAAGGACAACATCTTGCCGTTATTTGCTCTGCTGCTCCCCATTGTCTGGGACTCCCTTCTCCCAGCCACCCATGCTGCCAGTCCCCTGTTCAAATGTAGGCTCAATTCCTTCCCCTTCTCCGACTGATATTACCAACATGCTGTGCCACTTCTCTTAGATATGAAAAATCATTAGCCACGAACCCCCCCCCCCCCCACCACCCCCTGCTAGATGAAGGCCTCCCCCCGTGTTAATGACGTTTAATGCAGTCTAGAATATTAAACGGGCCAAGCGCTCGCGAGCCCCCCCCCCCCCATGAACTGGTTGTCAAAAAAAACGTGGAGCTGTCCGTCCGATCGGTTCTGACATTGTGCGCAACCTGAAGTGCACATCGGCAACGCAGTTGGCCCCGAAATTCTCGTCTCAGAGATAAAGCTTGATAATCTCACGATACACCCATCCCACGAACTGCGGTCATCCTCGCAGCAGCGGCTTTTGGCTGGCCATCGAACAACGAGAGCCACTGCGTCGTCGCACGCTTTCAGGCGCGCTTCTGCGGCCGTCTGGAACGCTCTCCTTTCCGATATTAGGAAGCCACTGGAGCTATGCACACTTTTGAATCGAGATTGAACATTCATTTCTTTAGAACTGCTTTTTGTGTTTAGTTTGTCGACCTTCGCCTGCACCTCCCATTTAGCGCCGTTGGCTACGTACGGTGCGAAGTTCCACATGCAGTACATACATGTGATACATGCACTCTGCTAATTCCTCCAGCTTGTGAAGCAAGCCCCGATATTTTGGTCGGCACCCCTTGTTTTGCAAGGCATTGATAATAACTTCAAAACTGGACATCCCTGGGGAAGCTTCATCAGGATGTGATTTCTCACCACTAATGAGGGCAAGACTCTCTCTGCTGGCCGTGTGCCCAAGCGCTTGTATGGAGATGTTTCAAAATTGTATTTTACAAAGTTGGAATAAATCTGTTTAATTAGCGTTGAACAAAATGCGCCTCTATGCAGGAGTGCTTCTGTACACACTTCCATCTCATCATATTCCTCTTCATCATCATCATCATTTTGCATTGTGCGTTAAGAGCACAGTCACATTATTATCATTGTAAAAGCATTTAATGGAGTTGACATTTACTCTAAAAAAAAACCTCTCTCCATTGAGCCATACAGACTGCTGGGCTTGGTGCTGTCATCATCATCAACTTCAGTTGTAATCAATAATGATCAATCCACTGCTGGATGAATGCCACCCCAAGCCATTATTGCAGTCTCTCGTGATCCTGTGCTGCAACAGTCCCTCCTGTCACTTGCACACGAGCTGAATTCATCTCCACGGCGGACCCACTTTCGGAGCTGTCAGCAAGCGCTTCACTTTGGCCGACGTGCCACCCGAAGCAGCGATGTTGGTGTACACCACGCACGCTCCGCTGCCTATTTCTACGCACGTAAGGGCGCACCGACAAGCCAACTGCATAATCGACCCTTACTCTCACGACGCATGCGTGCGAATCGTGCGCGTGATAGTCGATGCATTTAAGATGTATTGGGCAAATGCGATGTGAATGTTACATTTTGGTTAAAAAGTGACAACACAATTTGTACAAATTAAATGGGGGAAAAAATAACACGAAACCATACTAAAGGTATGGGGGGGGGGGGGGAAACGAGACAACAAACCCATTGAATATCGAATCGGGGTCACCCGGGATCGTTCCAATTTATGCAATAACTGTGTGTGGGTGGGTGGGATTGTGAGATACCCATGTGCCTGTATCCCCTGTGGCAATGATGGCCACGCTGTACCGAGCGTCGATTTTTAAGCTAAGTTAACCTAGAGGAGGCCCAGAGGTCACGACGGAGACATCACGCTCGAGGCCGCTGGGCTCGCAGGGCCGCTCACTGATCGTTATCACCGCAGTGCCCCACGCATTTGCAACATAAAAAATACGCGCACATACGAATCCTGCGTTCGTGCGTACATGCATGTGAGCTAGCACGCAGAACACACAGCGTGAGTATATATGTGCGCGTGTGTATATATATACACACGCGCACATATATATATTCACGCACGTGCATTATTCACATCCAATTATCTACCAAAAATTCCCAGGACGTAGACCAGCAGTCAAGGCACAGGCCGCGGGGTTTATTACCGCCACGATGCTAAAGCTGTTTAATGTTTGCAACCTAAGTGTGTGGGGAACTGCAGCACCAGGGCTACATTTCATTGCCTTGCTATCTGCCCCCTGGTTGTTATGGTCCCCTCTGGGGCATTTATTGTGGTAGATGAGCAAGTAGAGGCAGCGGAGGGTGTGCGGTGGGGAGACAGGGAGGCTTCTATTGTCTGGGCTGTGGATGTCTGTGTGTGTTTGTTTCTCCTTTACAAAACGCCATACATCTTTTTGAGAAATTGCAAGATTATCCAAGCCTCAATTCACAGCAACCCACACAGCCCGCCAAGCAAAAACAACACACACACACACACAAAAGATGACGCAATTTCACAACGTGAGGACCACTCACCGTGGGTGTTTTCTGGGTCCCAACGGTTGGGTTAACATTGTAGAAAATTGAGATGATGAGCATGATGATGAAGGAAAACAAACAAACGTGGCAGCTGAACGAATGCTCTGTACCACGAGGGGGTTTTGTGTGGCACGGGATTATGCAAGAGACGGGAAGCCTAGACTTAGAGGTTTTTTAGAAGAGTATGTGATTATTTCATCTCAGCATAATTATTTTTTTATATTTGACACTTCTCTCTCAGCATAGTTATTAAAAGGTTCATGACAAGATCAATTGAAACATTTAAGACAGGGTAACCGATGTTTCTTGTTAGGGTTTTTCTCCGAAGTTAAGATTTTATCATTAGCTTTGCGTCCTTTGAGATTATTTTGCCTGTTTGATTTTGGTGCGCAATTACCTATTATTTAAATTATCTTGGTTTGGCTATGTAATCTAAGCGAGTATTGCACTGTTTTAGTTGTTATTTGGAAGACTCAGGTCACCACTTGAAAAACAACACTTTAAGTCTCAATGGGTTTTCACTGGGTAAAATAAAATCTCTCGATCAATAAATGGTTTCCAGAAAGTAGTTCTGTGATATATGCTTTCAGCAAGCCGTACTCTTAACACATGATGCACTGGTTTGCGAAACTTGCGACTGGCCACTTCATCTCCTGATATGATGCCTATCGCAAAATTGGAATACAATTTGGGGGAAGAGAGCAGATAGCATCAGTTCCGCAAGACAGCTTTGCAGTGTTGTGCATTTTGAACGATCGCGTAAAAAAGTAAACAAACATAAATAAAAGCAGCGATCCGAAACAAAAATACAGCCTCCTCCAAAGAAATCTAAAAGAAAGATCAACACGCCACGGACACATACACACAACACATGAATGTTTGATGTGCTGCGCGCGCAAGTTTTCGTTGCGAGCACACGTTCGGTATTACTTTCCCAGAAGGTTCCAGCACTTACTGCGCAGATCCCAGGCGTGACGAACATCCAGCACCATTTCACCCACGGCCACGGTCGGTAACCAATCATGTCCTCTATGTTGTCGTAAAATCGGTCGCCTCCTGCAAAGAAAAAAGGCGGGCCTCGCATCATCCGCCGCCTCGCACGGATCACCCAACCTAAGATCGCGGCTGCTCAGACTTCACTGCAACTCGGAGGCGGTTACTCTCCCGGTGGGCCGTACTGCGCGCTGCTGTTCGGCACGGTGTCCGACGTCGGACACCGTGCCGAACAACGCCACGGTACAGCTATTCAGCGTGACCACAAAAAAACCGACCTCGTAGTTGTCGTAGAAGCAGAATCCATAGATGGCAAAACTGAAATGCCTGCTCTGGGTTATTTAAGCCAAAACCTGTTCGTTTGCATGAAGGATGTGTGCACCGTAAACACGTGTGACGTTCAGGAGTGCCGAAAAGGCATTTCACTGACAGATCTGTGGGTTCTGCAGAAGTCGCCTGCGAGTGCAATGACTGCCCCAGGCCCAGGGCTGAATTTCTCCACCAGATATTTTCTGGGGTGCTTGTCGGCGAGGGCAGTTCCAGAGACCGGACCGTAGAGGAGAGGCCTGGCCTGGAGTAGGCAGTACGCAACGCGTCGATATATTTTTCAGGTTCCCCTATCCACACAGACCCAGATGAAATTAAGCCGCGCGTGCGCCCAAACGCAATCAAAGGTAGGCAACCTGTACTCAAATGACAAGGCAGGCTGTCAATTATACAATACGACTCAAATTATACAGACGTTGCACCTGTATCTCGGGCGTGTGTGGAGGTCTTACACCAAATACGTAAGTTCAGAAGGCTCTCCGTTAGTTACAATCTGATTAGCTGGGGTAACTGACAAGCGTTCAGTCAGTCAGTAAGTCGGTCACATCAGTCAATCACAATGGCCAGGGCATTAGTCAGGCAGGTGAGTCAGTCAGTTCGTCACTGTCCTTTCACCAGTATGCATTTCCATTGGGATCTCCCAGGCAATTTCTGCAGCAGCATGAAACTGCAGTTGCATTTAGGAGCTATGTAAATTCGTATTGCATCGCAAAATTGTGCTTCTTGTGGGGAAGATCAGGGTAACTGTAGTTACATGTAGATACACTATCACGACAGCATTCTTGATATAATTACGCTTGAAGTAATTTTCACATGCGAGGCACAATCGCCAAGTCGGGCGAATGATCTCGGAGTGGTCTCTGATGTCCGCTTTGCAGGAAACCGCATTCGCAGGCAAACCCCTCGAGAAATTACCGGGCAGAATGAAGGAAATGAACTGTCGGGCTTCATTCAAACTGGCTCCGGTACAAGATGAGACGTTGAACTTCGATGCCACGCGTGTCCAGCGCTGTAAACACGAGCCCAAGAATTTGCTAATTGCTCGACGGAGGTATCTAGGACAATTATATATCTGCAGTTTAATTAGCCTTCAGGAATTATTAACAGCTCACTTCGTCACTGTTTTGTGCAAATGCAACATTGCTCGGCCATGCGTGAAGAAAGTTCATTATGTGGTGGCATGGTCTCTTCCAATTGCAGCGCAGTTAACAGAGCACTGTGTGTGTCTTTGTTTCAAATTGCTAAATAGACCCTCGTCTGATTCATAATTGATGCTCGGGTCAGATAGCCATGTGAGCGCAGTGGCAATGTGTGTCGTACACCCTCCACTACCTGACGCAGATAAACAAATATAGCCGTCATGTAATGAACTAGCGCGCCGATAATTGTTGCTTGGACACACCGCTAAGTTGGAGGGCAATCCGCAAACATTCATCAATTCGCTGCCACGTTTCGCTGGTAGTTACAACCGTCATCTGGAGATTGCCAGTGGCTATTGCCTGACGATGCCGGTGTATGTGTGTGTGTGTGACTAGAATCATATGCCTTTCTTAACATGGGCCAAAGGTTTGTAGTGTGCATTACTTACATTTTATAATCTGCAGAATACGGCATTTAAAAAACGGAATAAAACCCCTCCCCATGTACCATAGCATTTGAAATAGTCCAAATATATGGTGGAGATTTCTGTATACAGGGACACTGACTGTGGCTGCCGTGGGTAGTAGTAGTTAAGTTTTTTGAGCCGACTGGCCAGGATTGGGCAAAACTTCGCCCACTTTTCACCCGCTCTGCAACTGGAGCGCACAGACAAGGTGTTCCTAACCTAACATTGAAACTAACAAGAACATATTTAAGAATCGCAGTTAAAGAGACAAACGACGTATATGCGGGAAGTCCTCGCTTAACGTGTGTACATGGTACACGTTTTCGCTATAAAGCGGTTCTTCTATTCGGGAACGCTTCTTGCACAATACGGAACGTGCATCCCGTTATAAAGCGGAACGTGCATCCCGTTATAAAGCGGAACGTGCATCCCGTTATAAAGCGGAACGTGCCTCCCGTTATAACGTGAAATGCCCACCATTATTAAGCGGTCGACGACGAACTACTTTCTTCATCTGCACTGATGAGCGGTGCGGTGATACAGTACGTGGACTGATACAGTAACGCGGCGGTGTACCCTCAGTTATTTGTCCTGCCATCTCATTGCGTGTGCGTAGGAGTACATCGTATCTGACCAAACTTTGTTCGTTACATTCTTTACGGGGACATCTTCTCGCTAGATTTGAAGCTTTCGTGGCTGCGGGGAATCCGTACTCTCTGGTTCTTTCGGCAAAGTCACGTGGGTAGAACAATAAAATCAAACTCGTGACGTTTCGATTGCAACACAAGCAATCATCTATCGAAATGTCGCGAGTTATTTTTTTTATTTTATTTTATACCTACGTTGCTTTGCCGAAAGAACCAGAGAGTAATCTTCTCGCTTCACGCATCTCCCCCCTAAACTTGGCCCTTTTCAGGGACGCATCTGCCGCATTTAAATATGTTTTCTAAAAAAAAAAACGTAAAATCTCATCGATGGGTGTCGACACGTACCGTAAATCCAGCCAATACAGACGGACTCGAAGAAGGCGACTATGAGGAGGCACATTCCGCTCGCAGCGTAGTAATCGAAGAGCTGGAACACGTACATCCCTCCCTGGATACGGGGGGGGGGGGGGCAGGGATGATAGATAGACAGACAGATAAATGAAAACACTCATTTAATCACAGCAGCCGCAACGGGGGAAGTGATTTTTCATTTGGGTTAATGTTGTTCGTGCTTTGCCGCAAACACGTAAATTGAGCATTGACCACTGCGGCGGCAAACAAAGGACCGATGTTAAATTGATTTCAACGTCGCCGATGCAACACCAGGTGAAGAAGGCCAATCGTGGTGCATTCACTCCGTTGTAAAGATAGGCCTGGGCAACCTGGCTACTGTCATTACAGATGGTTATTTTTTGTTGTTGTTACAATTCAGGCAAGGGGACTTTTTGAAAGCATTTGACGTGAGATTAGGGGACGTGATTGTACGCGCAAATTACATCCCAAGGCCTTACGCATTAGCTCTTTGTTAGTTTCCCGTTGAAATTGCTTGCGCGGCTGCGGGCATCGAGACCACAAACCAACCGGGTAGCATTGCTTGGGGAGGAGGGGGGGGGGCTGAACAACAACCCTACTGAAGGCTCAGCCTCGACCTTCGAAAATTCAGTCAAGTCAGAAATTTCGGTGCACTTTTGAACGCCAGTGGCCGTGTTGTCTCCGACGCTTGCCAGTTCGGACGAGCGCCCGCCGACATAATAAAACATGCCCGTGCACGTCCGCTTCGGTCCGGTGACACTGAAATTTGTTGTTTCATCGTTTGTCGAACGCAGCCTGTGCCGTGCCCTCCTTGACTTTCGTGGTCCACCTCCCTCCCCTTTAGACGAGGTCAAGCTGCGAACTGACTCGCCGTTCGGTGCGCTGTCATGCAAAGCTGGAGTCATTAATGGGCTCATGCGTTTCAGTTTTGGAAATTCAACATGCGAGGTCGCAGTGCGGCTCAGGGGTCGGAGACGCGGAGCTCGCCCTGCCGAGATCCTGGCATCGAGTCCATATTTCATTTTTCACTGAAACTGCATTCTTGAGTTTAGCGAGTTGGTGAATGTTTTCGTTTTTATTTTAAACGCAGGCTCTCAAGACCAATATTACGATTCAATATATGTTTCTCTTGGGTTAGATCATCGTGTAGATATCATGTCAAATTTTGAGCTGTAACCCTCAACTACCCGACAGAGCCAATCAAATAAAGTTGTCACGTGGGGCAAATATGCCAATTGCTCTGGTTTATCAGTAAAACCATAACGTTGAAAAAAAACGAAATTTTACAATTTTGTACGACAAAAAAACACCACCTGGTTGTAATCTCCAGTGAAACATCGCACACAATTGTCAAAATGTGTCAAATGTCCGAGGCTCACAGAGCCAGACTAACGCACCATCGGGATTCTTAGAGTTCAGTTGTTAATGGCAGGAGGTTCAAAAGGGCGGACTAAACTTCCTCATGGATTCTTAGGATTCATGTGTTAACGGCCGAGACTCAAAAGACACGTTCAGTTTTGTGATGAGCACTGCCGTGGTAAATCGCCTCATTCACAACAACAACAACCACAGCAGCAGCAGCAGCAACAACAACAACAAGACAACAGAGGGCTGGGGCACGCAAGGCTCCGCCGCACCTCTGTCAGCATGATGAGCCCCATGAGGTAGAAGACAATCGCGGCCACCAACAGGAGGAGCTCTCTCCTCTTGCCCACGCGGAAGATGTGCGGGTACATGTCCGTAAGCGCCGTCACCAGGCTCTCGACGCACACAAACTGTGGGGGAGCGGAGTCGGAGTGTGCGAGACAGGCGGGGAGAGAGTGGAATCGGGGGTGCGTGACGGGTGGTGGTGGCGGTGGTGGTGGCGGCGTGTTGGGATATGAATCGTCGTGTGGAGGTGAGAGTTGTGAAGGGGCTTCGGTGGGAGTTTGGTGACAGGGAGTGAGAGACAGAGAGGATGCTCGTGGTCGTTGTCAATAAGGCGTGGGCAGACGGTTGCGTGCCCAGTGTGCTATTTAACATTTTGTGATATTCTTGTGTCCTGTCAATATCATCATATCATAACAATAATTTACAACTCTGTGTTTATTGACAGCTGGATAAAAGCCATGCCAGTCATGACACGTCTCTTCCACTGTGTCCCGCTCACTCCATTAGCCTAACCGTAATGCTTCCATATCATTTGCACGAATCATAAACATTCAATCGCTTCGTGCATGATTTAGCTGAAAGTTCCATAAGCGTTAGAGTCAAGAGCAACCAATTATTACATGCCTATCAATCGCTGTGTGTTGTAGCAGCACCGTAGACTCGGGGGAGGGGCGGGGGGCTAGAGGGGGGGTGGTGGCTAGCCTCACTTGCTGAAGGCTCAGACCCTCCTTGTATATTCTTCGCCAAATCAATCACCGTCATTTACAAGCTGTCTGTATTAAAGATAGACAGATGGGGGTTCGAGCTGCAGAGCAAAATACGCGGTAGATGCAAGCAGATCGTCTCTCTTTAGCGTTCCGATCCGCTTGAGCATTCGGCATTTGTTGAAAGTTTGGTTTTAACATTGACTGTGTCGTGTACCCCCCTCCACCCTCATCTTTAAACACGGTCACCCTACAGGGATGCCTCGTTGCATGTAGCTAGGTCAGAGGGTCGGCGACCAACATCACAAGAAGAATTTTTTTTTTTATCGAATTCGGTAAAAAACACAACCCTCAATATTTAAAGAGGTGTCGCAATGCACGTGAATAATACGAGCACCAGTGCCGGATTATCCTTGTTGCACAAGTAGCTCCATATACTACGGGCCCCGCACTTTCAAGGGCCCCGCGCTAAATGCTTTCAAGCTATCAATTCCGGTTCAGTGATTCTGCACTTGCTCTATTACTATAGTACTATACCGCCTTCAACTCTTATGAACGACTGGGTGTTAAAGGTTAGCGATTTGTCGTATTATCTGGCTGTATAGAAAATGAAAAAAAATAGGATAACTTTACTATGCAAATTTAAAAAAAATTGTATTTTAATATTTACGTGTTTTTAAAATTTAGGGCCCCTTTATGACATCATACTACAGGCCCCGCACTAGCTTCATCCGGCACTGACGAGCACGGTGGCCCTTTAACAGATGACGTCACGAAGCGGTCCCTTAAAGAGCCGCACGTGGCTCCGGGGGCCCCGGGGTTGCCCGACCCCTGAGCTCGGGGGGTCAGTGGCAGCTGCGGCGAGCGCTGGGAGTCTGTTGCCCGCCGCCGCCACCTGGGGTGGTCGACTGAGTCGAAAGCGCCTAACCGCTGCCCCAGTTGCACGCCTGTGGCATGAGCTGTGCTGGGGGGGGGGGGGATTACAGCGGCATTCCGCATTCTTCATTTTAGCGTGGATTCTGGCCAGCAGCCAATGGCTAGAGTCCACCTGCCCCCCCCCACTACAGCCACCACTGCCGTCTCCACATCAGCCCCCCCCACCCCTCCGCAGAAAACTTGATAAGCAGTCGAGGACCGTGCTGAGTGGCCCCACCAACTTAACGTTTTTTTGTGTGTGTTTAGTTTGTTGTCCTTTCCCCCGCACCTCCGATTGGCACGGTTGGTTACGTATGGTGCGAAAGAAGTTAAACATACATACATGCCTTCATGAGGCTAATTAACATCAGTGCTTTCGTGAATTTTTTTTGTCGTATGATTTGCAAAAGAAATGCTTCACTTCATTGATATTCGTTTGCTGAGCTCTGGCCAGATGGCTCAGGTCGTAGAGCATGCGGGTCGCAATCGGAAAGGTTGCGAGATCACATCCTGATTGGGGGTTGATTGGTTGACTCAGCCCATCATCATCCCTCCTCCAGGGGGTTGATAAATGGAGTACCCCTTTGTGGAGAAGTCAAACAGTGGTTGTCCGACGGCTAGACTGGCCCCTGCAATGAAAATGCAACGGCGTAGTAGAGTCGGCCAAAATCCCCACCGTGTGGGCTCTCCAGAGCTCCGTGTAGTGCAAGCCCTTCCACCAAGCCACGGAGAGGCATGAGCAGGTGTGAGCCACTACGTTTACCAACTTGCAACAGTTTCACAATATATGTTTTTGGGTCCGATCGCGTGTGTCGTACACCCTCCTCCACCCGACGCAGCCAAAATAAATAAAGAAATAAATGTGCCACGGCCCGATGTATTATTGCTTCAGCACATCGGTATATTGGAGAGCAATCCACAACATCTAACAATTTGGTACGAGTCTACGTGTCACATTTGCAACGATGTGTTGCAACACAGAAGCATCGAAGTCGCACCATCTAACGTGAAGATTGTGTGCGCATTTTAAGGATGCCAGTTAAATGTGCCGTTAACATTCTTTGTGCCGTTCAGTTCAGCTTGATTGTGACTTACAGTCACCGTCTTACTGTTTCGAAAACTTACAGGCATCACGGAAGTGCGTGCTTTAAATCGAATCGAAATTTACGTGCCATTTGTTTGACTTTTCTTGATGGCTTTAAATAAAAAAAAATCCATCAGCTATGGATTTGAACAACAACAGATTAGATTTATATACTGTATCAGCTTCTAAATGCGATCGCATCCCAAGACGCTGTACAGAGGCAGTGCAAATGAACAACGTTCACTCAGATATAGAAAACACATTTCTGACTGCAACGTCGATATCCTCAAACATTTATCAGAGATTGCATTATTATTACTACTATGCATATATTACCCAGTAAACTCTTACTGAGTCTTGTGACTCATCTTGAGGAGGGTCCTGCCAAGTGTTTTCAATAGTAGGGGGGAGGCTGAGGTAATGATGGCTATGGATACTCATCCAATTGTGTAATTTTCAGTGTAAGATTAAAAAATTGGCAAATTTGAACCATAACTCCGACACGCAATGGCCGTACTCTTGAGAATGACGTCTAACTGTGAAGCAGACGACATTTACTTTTGCCGCGAATACGCCCACAGTGTACAGTGGACACTTTCGGGCTATCTGCTCATGGATCGTGATGATGAGGATGATGATGATGATGACACCCGCAGTATTAATTATGGTTGCCGCCATGATTTTAACCCTGAAGTTCTGTGACAAGCGGCGTAGGGGCCCATTACTGGGCTGCGTCACCACACTGGCTCATAGCAGGTAGCGCATTCTTTATTTTAACGGATCACAAGGTTGCTGGGTGTTTTGCGACGACAAGAGTTATGAATTAGGAGGAAAGATGACGTCTCAGAACCACACCAACGACGCCACGTGGGCCAACGGGCGAGCGAAAAAACAACAGCGGCAATGACGACGACGTTAAACTTCGGCGCAGACGCACGACTGCGGGTGGCATTCCTGCCACCGTTGTTACCTGGCTGTCGAGACCCAGGAAGATGAGCATCAAGAAGAAGAGGGCAGCCCACAGCGGAGACAACGGCATCATGGTCACCGCCTTGGGGTAAGCGATGAACGCCAGGCCGGGTCCTGCGTGGCAGAGGATGAAAGCAGATCGCTGCTGCTCAGTGGGATCCATCAATTCATTGACCTTTTAAAGTAGATGAGAGCCCATTGTGGAACACTGTATCATATATATTTTTTTTACTTTACCAGGCAGACATGTGTGCTTATATAATTGTTTATATAATTACATGGTAATTATATAATTACATGGTAATTTATATAATTACATGGTAATTATATAAACACACGCTATGTGTTTACTATTACACATATGTTATTACTAGAGGGCAGCCTGTCCTACAGACAGTAGTGACGTGACACTCATCTGACCCTCGACCTGAACCTGCACTAAACACCCAACGTGACACTCAACACGAACGTGACACCGATAGCGGAGTTACCAGACACTCGCTAGTTAATGCTCACCGGACACTCACCAGTCACTGCCACCTGGGTCACATTTGGATTCATATGGGTTAAAGGTCATTCGTATCTTATCTTCAATGCCGTGGGTCTCTGGTGGATTTAATTCAAAATGAGCCCTCCATTGTGTACTCAAGAGCTTGCAACTGACAGACTCGCAGGGGGATCAATGACGTTCCTTGAGCAGGGCACGGTGGCTCGAAATGGACACCTCGGACGCAAGGGGTTGGTGGCTCACACTGAATTATGAAATTAAATCCTGGGGTCACAGAGACCCTGCGACCGCGAAAGGGCGCTCCATTAACCGCGACCACGAAAATGCGATTCTTGAATTGAATTGGGGTCTCAAATCGTGCCGATTAGCCGGGTTCGTGAGGAGGTGGCCGGGGAGAGGCGTGAATGATGACACGTGTGGTTTCCACAGTGTGACAGGCTCGCACTGCTGACATTAGCTTCATAAAGAAGTGTCTCTATTTAGCCGCCATTTAACATCGTTCATTAAATCCCTTCTGTTGATTTGAAAATTGTGCCTCGATGAATGTTTTTGTTAAGTCCTGTATGTACGCACATTGGCGGGGAGCGGTTGCACGGTGTTTCATGCAATACACCATGAACTTGGATAACATGGTTAAGATTCCCGGCGGTGGTAAGTGATATCTGAATCAGTCTTGTGACCCCCCCCCCACTCCCCCCCCCCCACTGCCTTCACATACCCACATTGACCAGCGTGGTGAAGTATGGCCAAATATTCCGAAAATCAACACGGCACGGACAGGACCTCATCCGGAAGTGGATCTACAAGCATTTCAAAAATATGAATGCTTTCCAACTCAGGTAAAAAGCCCTTTTATGTTGCAGCTCTGTCCATTCAGGAGGGTGGAGAACTATACCGCTCATGATGATGATCCAATACAAACTTGAGTCAAATGTTGTGCTGCTGTTAGGGACGCGCCCTGGAGAAAACCGGACACATTGGTCAAAGGATTGTCCAAAACGTGGACGACACAAACCCAGTTTTTAAAGAACCATTTGCAGTTATGCGACATATTTTGCCCTGACAGGTGTTGCCAGTCAGCTTCCATGCCACTCGTTAAAATACTCCCAAAGTCACACGCACGTTGGAATGCTTTACAGCAATCCAAAGCTCTTGCGTGAGTTTTCCTCGCTTGTCTTTTGCGCGTAATACGAACATTATAATCCCAAAACTTCGTCCACAAATTAGTTAGATTCCCAGCGAAGACGCACAAACAAAGTTGATTAGGCACTCTGCAAGGGCTAGGAGGGTCTCTGCCGCATCCCTGCTGCTAAGAAGCATCCCCATCCACTCATCCTGCTCACCCCCCCCCCCCCCCCCCACCTGCCTGCAGGAACCCAGAGCATTAGGCCCTCTTCAATTAGCAGCGGGGGGCACTTAGGATGATTGAGCACAGCTCGCTTAACGAAGTGGGCAGCGGTGGCAGTGGCAGCAGCAGCAGCAAGGACAACAACGTCTGGTTTACATTTGCAAAGCGGACAAAATAAAAAAAAACGACGAATCAAAGGACTTCCAGCCAGCGGGACCGGTTCTTCCTGCGCGTAGCCCCCCCGCACGTGGCGATAATAACCGACGGACGCGCACGCTTTCATGTTTCTACAAAGGCAATGGGTGCCGTGTGCGGAGGGGTCAAAGAGATCGGAGGAGCGCGACACTTAAATCAACCGCGGCGCAGCGGCAAGCAGCCCGTGTCTGGACGTCCTGCAAAAGTTTTGCGTTTCACTCAAAAGTAAAAGGGGTCCTGCGCTCGTCCTCAGGCTGGAAACGTAAGCCTCGTTCAAAACCCTCCCGAGAAGCTGTTCTCGCCCGATGCGCTGCGCGGTCTGAGAACGCGAGGATGGGTGGAGGCATTTACGCCACGCGGTTATTTTGTGGTTCATGCAACGTCCTAATGACTCATTCATTACATTATTACATTCAATAAAGTATGCTCGCCCGCTGGTCTGGCTTCAAAGAGCGAGGCCGGCTGTAGGAGGTTCTGTTTAGAGACGCGGCACGGTCACTACTGGGTAGGTTTTTGCGGTTGTGCTTTGCAGCTCTCCGATGCCTTTTCGGGTCACGCTGCCCCCACGATGACCTGCTATGCATGGGGAGGCCCTCATTCAGCAGGGCTCTCAATGTCCAATGTCCTACAGCCGAGCCAGCAAGGACACTCGGGTTGCAGTGAATTAAATCTCACACCCAGCTTTCGCCCAGCCGGCGCCAGTGGCAAGTTTCACAATAATTGATGTTGCGCAAAGCTCTGCAATTGGAGCAAACGGCCTTTTGAAGGGGCTGGCGTTACACCACGGCGGCCAACTAAGCACTGCGCTCTCACTGATAATTGCCGCCATTTAGAATCGACGTGTGCTTAGAGCGTTTGGCTACTGCTATACATTTCCACGTGACGAGCCACTTCGTTGAGCTCTCATTTGTGGCCAGGTCGCTTCTGAAAAAGAGCTACGTAGCTCAGTGGGCTTTACGTGGTAAAATAAGTCAAATAGTTACACACTAGGTTTGCCGTGATATATTTTTTCACGATGTGTTTCACGATGTGACGTTTGTCGCGATATCGGTTTCCCACAGCTTTGTTAACAGTTTTGCACATTTTTATTGTATCCTCCATAATATAGGTGTCGCCACCACCCGACAGCCAACTAGTAAGGTTTGTCACGTAAACAGAACGTGGCCAATTCGTCACTAGTACAGCACACCGGTGTGTTGGAGAGCTAATCCACAACATTTTCAATCTGAGTATGACGTATCGCCAGTAATTACAACTAGCATCATCAGGGGACAGACAGATTTGTTGAGAACTGCTCCTGTTTCATTCCTTAAATATGTGATCACCTTACTTGTGAGCCCTTCTTGTGCGAAGGGGGATTAATTAATGCATATACATTTCAATGGGTATCCATTTCCGGTTAGGTTATTCATATGGTAATTAACGTACATTATTGTATCCGTTTGATTGCACTGTGTGTTACTTTCAGTATGAATAAAGGTCACTTAAACGTTCTTCAATTGCAGTTCAGTCAATTTGAGCCTGCCTTTTCAAAATAATCACAACTTTACAATTTATAGCGATTGTAAGCACACACGCTATCCGCTACACTAAAAATTATTGAAGTTTATTGCACAAAACTGTGAAATTGATGGCGGCATATCGCCACACCGTGAATTACTCCAGGAAAACATTTCACAAAACTTAATTTAATGAATTAGCAATTTAATTTTACAATATATCAAATCATCGAGTTGGTAATTTCATTCATATTTTTCTCGTAATTGAAGACGAATTAAATGAGCAACGGATATCAGGGTATTAACGATACGAATCTCGTCAGGGTCGGCTCGTCCTTGTGAACCGGTAAGGCCAGGCCACGTGAGTGGAAAAAAAGGAAAACCCCTTAACGATACCAAGCTGTGCGTTGGGGGGGGGGGGGGCCTTATCCTGCAAGGATGGCACAGTATATGTCAGTGTTCTTCGTCGATTTTCAAAGGTGGGCGGGGGGGGGGGCGGGGGGGGGTCACTTTTGCCGATGAGACATCACCAGTGTGAGGACCGCCACACACTTGAAACCATCGCTGGCTTTGGCAGCACGATGATGATGATGATGAGGGTGTTTTCACCGTTTGCGTATTCTCTCAGGGGCCGCACGTCAGGGGTTGCACGAAAGGCCACCAGGGGCCGTCAGTGGCCCGCAGGGCCTTGCAATGAAGAACGCTGAACTTTGTCCATGTTCACGTCTAACATCCAAGGCAGTCCCGCCCTTACCGTCCTTCTCGCTATATAAACTTTCACTTCTCTGCTAGAGGCCCCCCCAACCTGGGTGGGGCAGTGAAGCCTTTCTACCCCATCCCACCTTCACCAAGCCCTGCCGTGCCGATCTCGGACTTGCTCACGGAATTTCTGCCCCCCCCCATCCCCCCCAACACTTCTTGTTCGGTGGTCGTTGCTCTGTACCGGGGCTTGCGTAGAGTTTAAATAAAAACAATAAAAAACACCCAAGGCGGCGTTGTTGACGAATGTGTTCGAGCTTGTTTTGTTTCGTCTGCTCGTTGTGAACAACATGAACCTCCATAACCCTGCCCTCTCTCCTCCTGCATCCCTTTGCTCCCCATCCTTGTGACCCCTAACCCTGTCCCCGACCCCCGGCCTCTCCAGGGACCTTACCGGACTCGGCCACTTCGGCGATCGGCACGTTCTGCTCGTACGCCATGAAGCCCAGGATGGAGAATATCGCGAACCCCGCCACGAAGCTGGTGCCGCTATTGAGGCAGCAGAGCATGACGCAGTCCCTGCAGGGGGGAGATCCTGCCTGGGTCACGGGGCACGGCACGTACACTCACAATCACTCTCGCGTGGGTCACGCATCGGATGCGCTTCTACGGCCGTCTGGAACGCTCTTCCTTCCGATATTAGGAAGCCACTGGAGCGATGCGCTTTTTCAATAATCTAGATTTACAAACTAATTGATTAAGAAATTATTTTTGTGTTTTGTTTATTATCCTTCTCCAGCGCCTCCGATTAGCACAGTTAGCTACGTACAGCGCGAAATAAGTCACAACATACATACGTATACATCATCAATCGCAGAGCGTATGCAAGTCGAAGACATCGCATTGACTGCTGAGATTAGTAAGCGGGCCTGGGCAGGTTGGGCCTAATGGCGGAGTAGCAGCTAAAGGAGGAATCACGCCCGAGGGGACGCCCCTCTGGAGATTAAGTAATGATCACTCACAATGCCTCATGTGGAACAAAGATGGAATCTATTTGTGACCCAGATTTGTGACAATTCCCAAATCTGGTAGTGGAGGAGGGGCGTGAATCATTGCGTGTTGTACCAGGAATTGAAACCTATTTCGCCAACATAACTGAACCACCACACATGTGTAGCCACTGCACGTGCATATCCATGTGCATACATTTAGGTACGCTGAAAGACATGAGTACGTGATACAATTTGATATAGTACAGCCAGTCTCTTTCAACATGCTGATAGACATTAGTTTCGTAGAAATTCTATCTCTAAATGCTTCCAGCAGGCTTGTTTTTTTTTCTTTTAACGTTAAAATTGCACTGCTTTCCTCGAAACACAAGCCACGAAATTCTTAAACAGTATGCCTACTATATTCGCACGATGGTGTTTGCTGTGGACCAACGTGTTTTTTGGCAGGGGTGACGCAACTGGCTCTGAAGACTCTACACTAACACCTCGGGTGGCACGTGCGAAGCGTGTTTGCGCGCCGGTTTGCAGCAGCGACCCACTTGTAGCAGTTGTTATTGTAGTGGTTGTAGCTTCCCAGTGCGGTCAGGCAGCCCAGGCAGATGGCGTAGGAGAAGAAGATCTGCGTGCCAGCGTCGACCCACACCTGCGACCGGAGTGATGATAATAATTCAATTGTATTATGGGCATTGCATCATAGGATCCCAATTCGCAATGCATGAAAAGCAGGAAACAAAAACAGGGGCAATCGATCAAACTAAAGCGGGAAGGCCACTATAGAGAGATGGGTCTTTAAAGCAGACTTGAATATATCAGTCAACAAGGGGACATTCGGTCGGGTTGAGCAGGAAGCTCACTGACCCACGCAAGTAGTTGGCCTACTTGCTCCGGCACTTCGAGATGTATTGCATGCAAGGTATCGTATAAATACAGAGAAATGATGATGATGGAAGACAATCTATGCTCAACGGGAAAAAAAACTGGTTTCCACCATAGGAATGTGGAATTTTCTCCACTGGCTGAATACTTCCATTGGAATTGAGCATCATCTAAAGATAGCCACTTGATTTCATTTCCTATACTATTGTCATCATCATCTGCAGCCATGGTTAATCCACTGCTGGATAAAGTCCTTCCCAAGATGCCACCACCATCTCTCGTGAGCCTGCGATGTATTCCATTCCATTGGCTACCACGCCACCACCATTCTTGATAATCGGCCCATCAACCCCCTTGTTTAAATAACCCACATGGGCAAAGCAAATGTTCAGTAATCCATGACTAAAAAATAAACCACGTAATCAATACATGCCCCGTATTGAAGGGGTACTTCCCCCACTGCCTATAAATATACATTACAGAAAGGCACCATGCACGCGTGACACATTAAAAAAATGCGTAGATTTTATGAGATAAATTAATCTAAGGCGGCACTCTTTTCTCATTGAAACTGACAATTTTTAAATACGACGAGCAACAACAAAGACGGTCACTGCGTCACATACATTCGGATGCCCTTCTGCGGCCGTCTGGAACGCTCTTCCGATATTATACCGCTGGAGGTATGCACTCATTAATGATCTAAATTGAAAGCTAATTTTGTTAGGAACTACTTTTTGTGTTTAGTTTGTTGTCCTTCCCCCGAACCTTCGATTAGCATGGTTGGCTATGTACGATGCGAATGAAGTTCAACATACATATATACAATTTAAATAATGCAATTTCTTTCTTTCCAAGAATGGCTGGTTCGTGGTGTTTTTTGCAGTTTTCCCCGTGTACTATTTTTTTAGCCATGCAACAATTCAGCTGCAAAAATATTAGTCGCAGTGTCATAGTTCAGGGTCACGATTCAAGTATTTTGTTGTTTCTTTTTGATCATTTCACTCGTGTGTTTAAAAAATTATAATTCTGTACAGTCGGTACAGTTCTGTCCACCGTTTTACCAAAAACGCAACACGAGCTTATAAATAATACATTTAAACACGTAAGATTTGATGCATGCACCCTAAGTATAATGATACATTCCATTCAGTGAATCAATGCATCGTTAAATGTTTCTGATTATTTTTCCATGTATTATTTGCAAACATAAAAAAACAGAGGCACAATGCTGGAATACAATTGGCTTTTTTGATATGTCAACAAATAAATAATTGAGCTAACGCAGCTGGTGAATTCCCATTGTCAGATTAGAACTGTCAATTTAGAAAGGTTTGTTGCTCTACTTCTCATATTGTGCTCTCTGTGTCTCGCACGTGACGCGAGGTCGTGTTCGCGTGCACACGCGAGCTGTCATATCAGTGCAGCGTGGTGCGTGCACACGCGAGCTGTCATATCAGCGCAGCGTGGTGCGTGCACACGCGAGCTGTCATATCAGGGCAGCGTGGTGCGTCACACGCGAGCTGTCACATCAGCGCAGCGTGGTGCGTCACACGCGAGCTGTCATTTCTGCGCAGCGTGGTGCGTCACACGCGAGCTGTCATATCAAGGCAGCGTGGTGCGTCACACGCTAGCTGTCATATCAGTGCAGCGTGGTGCGTCACACGCGAGCTGTCATATCAGCGCAGCGTGGTGCGTGCACACGCGAGCTGTCATATCAGGGCAGCGTGGTGCGTCACACGCGAGCTGTCACATCAGCGCAGCGTGGTGCGTCACACGCGAGCTGTCATTTCTGCGCAGCGTGGTGCGTCACACGCGAGCTGTCATATCAAGGCAGCGTGGTGCGTCACACGCTAGCTGTCATATCAGTGCAGCGTGGTGCGTCACACGCGAGTTGTCATATCAGCGCAGCGTGGTGCGTCACACGCGAGCTGTCATATCAGCGCAGCGTGGTGCGTCACACGCGAGCTGTCATATCAGCGCAGCGTGGTGCATCACACGCGAGCTGTCATTTCAGCGCAGCGTGGTGCGTCACACGCGAGCTGTCATATCAGGGCAGCGTGGTGCGTCACACGCTAGCTGTCATATCAGTGCAGCGTGGTGCATCACACGCGAGCTATCATATCGGCGCAGCGTGGTGCGTCACACGCGAGCTGTCATATCAGTGCAGCGTGGTGCGTCACACGCGAGCTGTCATATCAGGACAGCGTGGTGTGTCACATGCGAGCTGTCATATCAGTGCAGCATGGTGCGTCACACGCGAACTGTCATATCGGCGTAGCGTGGTGCGTCACACGCGAGCTGTCATATCGGCACAGCGTGGTGCGTCACACGTGAGCTGTCATATCAGCGCAACGTGGTGCGTCACACGTGAGCTGTCATATCAGGGCAGCGTGGTGCATCACACGCTAGCTGTCATATCAGTCCAGCGTGGTGCATCACACGCTAGCTGTCATATCAGTGCAGCGTGGTGCGTCACACGCGAGCTGTCATATCTGCACAGCGTGGTGCGTCACACGTGAGCTGTCATATCAGCGCAGCGTGGTGCGTCACACGTGAGCTGTCATATCAGGGCAGCGTGGTGCATCACACGCTAGCTGTCATATCAGTGCAGCGTGGTGCATCACACGCTAGCTGTCATATCAGTGCAGCGTGGTGCGTCACACGCGAGCTGTCATATCAGCGCAGCGTGGTGCGTCACACGCGAGCTGTCATATCAGGGCAGCGTGGTGCGTCATACGCGAGGTGTCATATCAGGGCAGCATGGTGCGTCACACGCGAGCTGTCATATCAGGGCAGCGTGGTGCGTCACACGCTAGCTGTCATATCAGTGCAGCGTGGTGCGTCACACGCGAGCTGTCATATCGGCATAGCGTGGTGCGTCACACGCGAGCTGTCATATCAGTGCAGCGTGGTGCGTCACACGCGAGCTGTCATATTTGCGCAGTGTGGTGCGTCACACGCGAGCTGTCATAGCAGGGCAGCGTGGTGCATCACACGCGAGCTGTCATATCAGGGCAGCATGGTGCGTCACACGCGAGCTGTCATATCAGTGCAGCGTGGTGCATCACACGCGAGCTGTCATATCGGCGCAGCGTGGTGCGTCACACGCGAGCTGTCATATCAGGACAGCGTGGTGCGTCACACGCAAGCTGTCATATCGGCGCAGCGTGGTGCGTCACACGCGAGGTGTCATATCAGGGCAGCGTGGTGCGTCACACGCAAGCTGTCATATCGGCGCAGCGTGGTGCGTCACACGCGAGGTGTCATATCAGGGCAGCATGGTGCGTCACACACGAGGTGTCATATCAGGGCAGCGTGGTGCGTCACACACGAGGTGTCATATCAGGGCAGCGTGGTGCGTCACACGTGAGCTGTCATATCAGCGCAGCGTGGTGCGTCACATGCGAGGTGTCATATCGGCGCAGCGTGGTGCGTCACACGCGAGCTGTCATATCGGCGCAGCGTGGTGCGTCACACGCGAGGTGTCATATCAGGGCAGCGTGGTGCGTCACACGCGAGGTGTCATATCAGCGCAGCGTGGTGCGTCACACGCGAGCTGTCATATCAGGGCAGCATGGTGCGTCACACGCGAGGTGTCATATCAGCGCAGCGTGGTGCGTCACACGCGAGGTGTCATATCAGGGCAGCGTGGTGCGTCACACGTGAGCTGTCATATCAGCGCAGCGTGGTGCGTCACACGCGAGCTGTCATATCAGGGCAGCGTGGTGCGTCACACGCGAGCTGTCATATCGGCGCAGCGTGGTGCATCACACGCGAGCTGTCATATCGGCGCAGCGTGGTGCGTCACACGCGAGATCTGATGCACGCGGCGACGCGACGAGCGCCCATGGTGCGGGCCAGCAGCGCAGCAGCACAAATGATCTTCCACTTCGCCCCGTTGCACCGCGCCCGTTGCGTTGCGTCCGCGACTTTCATCGCTGCGGACGGGACAGCGTTTCCATATATATATCTTTTTGTACGTTATTATGCAATGCCGTCCATTGCGTGTAAATCAAATAAAAAGTCATGTTGGGAGAGACCGGGTCATTTTGGAGGCCCGGTTGTCAGCAAGGGACTTGTGCCAGGCGGGCAAACAGAGTTGTGGAACTTTCACGAAATCACAACATCAACAACATGATCACACGCGTGAGCGTCTCCAGGAAAGGAGATCCCGTGCGCTCGCTGGCTTGCGATGCCAACGAGTTCACGATGTGAACTGCAATTGCAATCAGACAATTGTGGCAGAATCAGAATCTTTATTTATTCTTGAAAAATCCGATGGCCAATGAAGCTCTTTTTCCACAGATGTCCAACTGCTGCCCCACACTCCTGCTTGCATTCCCTTTCGGTCCTTTTGACGCAGACCTTATATATATTTTTTATTTTAGTTGCTTGCACGGTTTTAATTTGACATCCATTTCCAGAGCAAGCACGAGTACCGGTGATAGGTAGCAACACTTGATTGCACAACGAGGCTGGCATATTCTAGGACAGAGGCTCTGTTGATTGCATCAAAAGAAAATGCATGGCGTTAAATATGAATGCATCTTTGTTACTGTTAGGGCAGAGATGCACTGGGAACGTAATGTACATCTGAATCTCGGTCCCCTTTGCATTTGCCCACGCAGAATTGTTCCGCACTCGTTATTGACGTGCTGCTGGAAAGCGCGTTGCAGAAATGGGTGTATTTTTATCCACCGCTAATGCTAAATTTCCCTACCCCTGGGCAATGCATTTTTCACACTTCGCCTCTCCTTCTTCAAC